TACAGAAATCGCCTGAGTAGTCAATAACTAGCTCAGCTAAGAACTTCTCTGTCTATCTATCTTCCCCATGTCAACTGACATGCAACTATTTAAAGTCTTTGTTCACAGACGCAGACAAGTTCATCTTCAAGAGAGGTGGTAGGTTTCCGACACAACATTATTAATAACAAGTAAAGAATATATTGAATAATATAGAAATTAATATAGAATATATTGTAAAGTAAATTGTATTGTAAATTAATACAAAAAAATGGAATATATTGGGTAGTACAGAAATTAGAACTTTAGATTGTTAAATACACATGAAGTCATTTTAATTAAAGAAAACTTTTAAATAAATGGCTTCATGCCAGTTTGCCACAACAGTGTTGTTTTATTAAGATTTATTTTTTATGAGATTTTACAGTATTCTGTAGCTTGAACAGCATAGTAAAATTAATTAACAGATATGCAGAGCACACAGATATGGCACTGATTCTAGACAGAGGGCCAGGAAGTAACACTTTTAATTTGAGGAAAGTGCTCATATATTCGAATTCTAGGAAGATGTGCCAACATATACACAAATAATCATTTTTGACAGGTAATCAGCAAGTTATATAAACAAACAGAAACAGTTATAAGCACTACTTTAGAGTAACTCCCAGAAGTAAAACACAGGTCTGTAGAACACAAGATTTGAAGGTTCATTTTTTTACAAGGGGTGTGACTCATTATTCCCCAGAAGATAAATAAAATGTTGACAATATTGATTGTTTTTAAATTTTATCTTAAGTAGTGTAAGTAATAAATTTTATGTAAGTAAATACTAATGCAAATATCATCTTTCTTTTAAATTTAAAAGAACTTAACATTTTTTATCACTAAGTGAAAGGCTTGTTGCAGTAGGTACATATTGAAATCATGTTGTGGTCACCAAACTGTTGTGGGACACAAAAATCTATCTTGACTAAAATCAGTGGCAATGATATTAGGCTCAAGTAAATGATGAGTGTAAAGAAATTAATGAATTTCAACAAGACAATATTTTCTATCATTGTTTTTATATAATGAAGTAAAACAAGAGAAAATACACTCATATCATCCTCCGCTGCAATGTCTTTCTGATTCACTCTACATGTTGGCCAATGTGAATGCTAAGAAAGCAAAACGCAAAATAAAAAAGTTGTTTTCTATGCAGGGGCTCCGAGCATCAAGTCTGGTCCCCAATACAAATCTCCACAATAAAATACAATAGCTAATCCTGAACATCCTACCATTAAAAAATAACCCTGGGGACTATGAGATTTGTTTAAAAGAAAGCCCCTCATAATGACCAACACAGTTGCAGGCTGAAAGGCCCCCTGACAGAATGCAGGTGTGCTGTCACTGTCATCACAATGATTGCTTCTCTCATCACACCTGTAACTACACTCAAGCTTCACTAATCTCACCTGATTCTTTACCTGAAGAATGTGGCTAACAGGCCAGCTTCAACATCATCAAGCTCCCAACACCAACCAACATGATTTCTAATACCTTGTCATCATCATCACCATTGGGACCCCATTTTGTTGATATCACATTTGACCAGAATCCAACAGAGACATTACACTTGACCTACTCTAGGCCTCTCTTGACGTCACCACCATGACTCCATTTATAGATTTCCGATTTGACCAAAATCCAATAGAGACCTTCCACTTGATCAACATTCACTATATACACCTAATCCTTTATCACCACTACATTAACCTTAGCAACCAACGTGCCTTACCATGAATCAATCCACCACCTTGACCAGGATCAATCAACCCGCTAACCCATCTTACCAGGCAGTTCAGTTTCAACATCTCGGCATCACATGACTGCCAACCCATCAGACACCTCACAAATGTTGATTTCAACCTTAAAGAAAGGCATCCATCAAACCCCACCAGCTGCTAGTTCAAAACTGTGAACTTGGACAACCAACCCAAGGAATCGATCAACTCCTGGCCTTAGGAACAATACCCTTACACCTAATTGCTTTTCTGACCAACAGCAACTGAAGAACCACACATGAATGCTGTTGAAAATCTTAATCCTCGTTTGTTCCTTTCCTTTGCAACCAAATGCTTGTTATAGCAACTGGTGTCAGAAGTGTGCAGCAAGAGAAATAAATATAACAACCAAATGCTCATTACTAATATGCATGCAAGAGAAAGAAGATATTAAAAGTTAACAATTATGTGAATGAGACACATGCATGTGTGTATGGAAAAAAATTCACTCATTAAGGGGAAAAATATCTTCATGTCCAGGAAAAGATCCTGGTGATGCTGTCACTTTAGCATTCCATTTTTATAGCTGTTTGACACTGCCTTCTAACAACTTCTTGGCAAAACTGGCAAAGCTATCTGGAGAAAATTCATAAGTTTTTAAAACATCTGTCTATATTTCTGAGATGAGGTATTGCAATTATTTACATGATTTATATTGTTCAGACTGTTGTCCTCATCTTTGTTGCTATATTCATGTTTCAGCCATTGTACACTCTGGCCTTCTTCAGGTGATTTGAATTTCAAACCGAACCCTTTATTTCATTCACCGGGTAGATTGTTCTAGTTGACATGCCATGCCTCTTCCAGATGTCTTAGTTATCTCCCTTTAACTCAAGTTTTTGTTCATCACTGTAGTAGCCAGGTATTGAACTCACACCACTTTGGGTCAAGTCACTGGATCCTACCAACACTTTTATCCACTGGTCCATGTGTATGAATTTTTAATAATTTTTTTTATTAATTTTTACTTAATATCTCAGTAACCACTTTTTTTTACCAGAGCTCATATTGCAATTTTGTTGTTATTATTGCTTTTCTCTAGCACTTTGTATTACTGGTTCCCATAATGTATTCATTTTTATGCTTGGCTGGCTCAGGAGATTTTTGTTGCCTAGCATATGTGATGATTCCTTAAGTTTTCATATTTTTCTGTGATGTTCTCTGTCTATTATTTCAGCTTCATTCCACATGTGGTTAACTATGCCTGGTTTTTCTATTTCCTTTCATATTATAGCTTTACGATGTTCTTGCAGTTTTATCTTAAGGAGGCAGTCTGTTTTTCCTTTATATTTCTTACCACAGCTTCATGGGATGGTGCACACACAGTCCTTAGTCATGATTTCCTCTATGGAAGAGATGTTTGCAAAATGTTGAACCACTTTTGAAGGTTGTCCTGATGTTATAAGTACCACAGATCTTTTGTATTTTTTCCAATAATCCCTTCACATAGGGTAGGCAGACCAAAGCTGTTTTCTGAGTGTTGCTATCCTTATGTACCCTTCTATCCAGACATAAAGACATACAAAACATTAACAGTGCAATAATCAAGAAATTATGAGTAAAAATAAATTATCTTTAACTTTATATAACCAATAGTTTAAGAATATAATTTTTTTATTCTATGCAATTTTCTGAATCTTGGTAGAATGAATAATTTTATTTTTTATATATTAGAAGTAGTTTTTTTTTTACTTAAATGATAGTTTTAGTTAAATGATACTTTTATTTTTGCTTTTATTTTTTGATTGCTTTCTTACATATTTCATATCATAAAATATATAATTGCATCTAATGTGATTTTTAAAATAATTCTGAATTTAAGAAAATGTATTAAAATAATGGAGTTGCTACTAACAAAAAAATGGGAAAATTTGGTAGAGATTTTAAATTGATAAATGTTATTTGATTGCACTTTGAGTTTTTTCTCAATTATTCATTCACATCCAAGAAATGCTTTTAGTTTTATTTTAGCCATAAAATTATTATAAGGCTATAAAACCAATAGTTTAAGAATACAATTTTTTATTCTATCTATATTATGTTTTATAAAACTTAGAATGGTCAAAGGTGAGAAATCAGAATTTTCCTTTTGTAAATCCATACAACAATACCCTAACAGTTACTAAAAGGAAAAAAGTAAAATAAAATTATTTTAAAAAATGTTCACACTTGAAAATGACTTTGATTCTTCATGTCTTTATCTAATAAAAGAAATTGGTGATGGACATCAACAGGGTGAATTTCAAAATCGCACTGAAAACATACAAATTAAATTTTTGTAATGTATTATTAAGTGTACATTTTTTCTGTCCATTCTGAAAAAAATGTTTTTTTTTTATTAAATTATGCAAGCACTAATTTTCAAAGAAAAATATTTTTGAGTTTTATTGAATTATTTTTAGAATCATTCAGGACAAATTTTCAGTATGTTCACAACACTTTTTTTTTTGTTTTATTGTATAAATGAAATCTTTTACGAAAATAAAATTTATTTTTAGGGATTTTTCTTTAGACTTTAGTTTAACTGTGTAACTATTAAAATTGCATTTGTTTTACTTTTTGTAGTAACAGTAACAGAACAATGGATAGCGATTTTTTTGCTTTCATTTCGGGGGAAAAAAAAAACGTATCCATTTTTACTAAAGACATCTTATCTTAATCAAATTTAATAATAGTTTTGTAAATCGTTAGTAGTGATTTCGATCCTCATTGGGTACCATATGCGCTCGGGATCTTGTGCTAAAAAGCTGAGTCAATAAATCGTCCCTTTGTTAGTGTCATGTGACAATGTGGGGATTTCCTCATTTATAAATAGAAGTTTCTTCGAGAAAGATAAGGTCACATGACCGGGTCATGTGGGCTTTTAAATCATGTGGCGACGAAGCGTCAACTAAATTATTGTCAACCAGTTTCGTCTGTTTGCAAAAACTATGCGGATATTAAATACATACAAGGAAACGGCATTAATTACAGATTCACAGTAAATTATTTACTGTTTCTAGTATTTCGTTTAAAACAAAACAACGACACGGTAATTAGTAGAAAACATATTTTTATCAAATTCGATGATTTACGAACTAATAATTCTGTCACTTCACAAGAACTTGTCTTTTTTGTCTGTCCTCGGTGTTGGAAGGATTTTTTTTTCCTGCAGTTGTTCCATTTCATTACCTACATAAATCGAATTATTGTTTTTAGTTCATACCAGTAAGTTTTAAATATTTTTCTCACTCTCTCTTTTTTTTTTTTTTTTTTTTTTTTTTTTTGGTATTATTAGTGTTGTCATTCATATTTTTTTCTCCTGTTTCTTCAGTTGCACGAGTTGAGATTAAAAAAAGGACCAATTCCTTCTTTATTGCCAATAATGGAAGAAAATCCTCAACCTACAGCGTATCGACACCCTTCTTCTTCGGAAAATGCTCCATTGCTGGACGGAATTCGGTCTAGATGTCAAAATTCATACACAGAAGAAACTGAAGACGACCCTGGACCCCCGATGACTGTACGTAAATAAAAACAAAAAAGGTTTTTAAAAACACTTTCGTATCTATACTCCAGATTGAAAGTTTAGTGATTGAGGATTTCTTATTTTTGTCAGAAAAATCTGAACAATATATTTTAAGATCACAGCGTTATAATTATACAAACGAAACCATTAAAAAAAAAAGTTACACATACGAATTACGATGATATAAATTTTGACGATTTTTTTAAAGGAATAATTTTGTTATTTGTTGATCTCTGTGTTGTTGTTTTCTAGGATCGATCGACGGACGACGACCGAAGATTTATTTTTTTTTCTTTCATGAAAGATTGTATTTTTGTTTTATTAAATTTCTTCATTTCTTAAATGAAATCCAAATTAATTAACTCATTACAGTTTTTTTGTGTTGATTTTACTTTTTATTTTATCAATGTTTCACTTGTTTTTTAACAAGTGAATATTTACTCCACTTACACCATCATCTTCTTAATCTTATTCTTATGTAACTCTGTTTTTTTTAAATATTTTCTGTCAATGCTTCTTTAAAATTTAAAGTTCACTAATGAAAACAAAAGAAAAACAGTTACTTAAGTTTAAAAAAAATTTAACTATTTTTCTTTTGTTTGTCTTAGTGAACTTGTTCCTTGTCTTTAAAAAATGTTTCTCTCGATATGTTTCGAAAACCTTTTTGTTGGTTTGTAAGTTTTAAGCCTCAACCAGGAAAACAAATGGTCATTTAAAAAAATAAAATTAAAATTCATTTGCAATGTAGAGACAACATAAAATTTAAATAAATGAATAAACTCTACTGTATTTATAATTTAAATTATTTTTGTTGAATACTTGAAGATTGAAAGAAAAAGTTTCTTAAATTTATAAAATTGAATTGACATGCACATATGACATTTTCCGCATTCGGCTTAAAATGGCATTTAAAATGTCCCCAAAAGTCATATTGATCATTAAAGCAATTGATTCATGTGACTGACACAATTTTTTTTTTTTTCCCTCTTGTTAAAAGTTTTCCTTTTTTTTTTTTTTTTATTGTTGATCGTTTTTATTTTAATACAATCTCGTCTTAGCACTTGTTACTATTGTTGGCAAGTTTAAGGAAGTCTATTTTTATAAGAAGAGATATTGTTAAGTTCAGCGTTTCAAACCACCAAACATTGGTTTACCTCCCTTACATCCCACGTAATTTTTTTTAACTAGTCTACTCATTTTCTGATTTTACTTACTCGACCTTTGAATTTGAAAACTTGAAATAATTGAATTTTTGAGGCAGTATTTTTCGTTCTTTTTCAATTTCATCGTCTTCAGTGTTGATGTACTCACTGTATTTTCTTTTTTCTTTTTTTAAATAAAAGAAAAAGATAGATCCAAACTTTTTTATTTTTACTTGCTTTTAAAATCTATATTGAATTAGATCTCAATTTTATTCATGAAAAGAAAAATAGTTTAAATTATTGCATCTCAACTGGTGTTTTTCGTTCTTTTCATCAGTTATACATTGATTTATTCAAGTTGTTGCTTATGTTTTTTGTTAGTCATTTGTTCCTCGCACCCTTCATTTTTTATTTTTTCTTAAGATACCTATCATATTCAACAACATTCTTGAAATTTCAAATGGAACTCTTTATTCACTCTATGAGGATAGACTGTTCTCATGCTGCTCTTCAGGAGATATCCTTAGTCAATGCTTCTGTTATTTCATAGAGTATGAAAGCAATACAGTGGCTTGCAAAAGTCTACACCCCCTTTGAAAATTTATATATTTTGTATAATTTAACAGGGAACACATTTTTTTTCAATTCCAATGATTGTTAAATAAGCAGATCCATCACACTTTCCTTTGATATAAAATTACATTTTAAAAATTTCACACTGATTCTTAAAAATCATATAACTTAGAAAAATCTCTTTGCAAAAGTCTACAACTTCCCCAGATATTATACTGTATTATCACGTAGTTCATCATTGATGTATACAATCCAGAACAATCAAGTGATATGTGCGTTCTACCATAACAAACAAACTTGGTCAGTCTATTATTTTGCTATATAAGGTGATTTAACTGCCTATAAAATCATCCACCACATGGTTTCTTGGTATGTTGGTCTTTGGATTCTGACTGTAAACGCAAGATGTCCAACTCAGGGAAAGAAAATGGGCAAGCCTCTGTCTCAGGAACTTAGAAACCTTATTATTCAAAAATAGAATGAAAATAATGGCTATAAAAAGATTGCAAAAACTTTTGAATTGCCCCTAAGCACTGTTAAAACTGTAGTTAAGAAGTGGTTAGTGCACATACCACTGCTACCCTACCAAGATCTGGGAGACCGAGCAAACTTACCAGAAGAGCAAAATCAAAACTGGTCCGGGAGGCAACCTCCAACCCTAGTGCAACACTGGAAAACTTGAAAGCTTCAGTTTCCAGTACTGGGACAGATGTCCATGCATCTACAATTTCTAGAGTATTGTACCGGTCTGGCCTGCAAGGAAGGGTAGCTAGAAAAAAGCCCCTTCTGAAGCCTATGCACAAGCAAGCAAGGCTAAACTTTGCCAAAAGTCACATCAATGATTCCATGACCATGTGGCAAAAGATTTTGTGGTCAGATGAGACCAAAGTCAAGTTATTTGGAAAAAATACAAAACGCTACATTTGGCGGAAAAAAGGCACTGCTCACCAACCTCATTACACCATCCCCACTGTAAAGCATGGCGGTGGATCGATCATGCTTTGGGGCTGTTTTTCAAATGCAGGGCCTAGAGAGCTGGTAACCATCCAAGGTGTCATGGAAAGTGTCAAGTATCAAGAAATATTGGAGGGAAACCTGCTGAAGTCTGCTAGAGCTCTGCGCTTGGGTTGCAATTTCAAGTTTCAACAAGATAATGACCCCAAGCATGTGTCAAAAAGCACTAAAGCTTGGTTTGCTAGCAAGAAAATCAGTTTTGGAGTGGCCCAACCAGTCTCCAGACCTCAATCCTATAGAAAATCTATGGCGAGATCTAAAGCTGGCTGTGCACCAACATTCCCCATCCAATCTGACACAGCTCGAGAAGCTCTGCCATGAAGAATGGCAAAAATTGTCGTCAGACCACTGCAGCAAGCTTGTGGAAGGCTACCCAAGGCGTCTACAGGGTGTAATTGATGCAGCAGGATCATCCACAAAGTATTAGCTGAAGACATTCCAAACGGGGTGTAGACTTTTGCAAAGACATTTTTCAAAATTATCTTTGTTTAAGAATCGGTTTAAAATTTTTCAAATGTATTTTGTGTATTAAATAAAAGTTTGATAGTTATGCTTATTAAAACTAATTACTGGAGTTTAAAATAGTAATTGTTCCTATCAAAATAAACAAAATACATCTAGTTTTCAAGGGGTGTAGACTTTTGCAATGTGCTGTACCTCTCACATGTAGTGAGACATTCATTAGTGGCAATGGTGTCTTCATCTAGCTAACGAATGTCTTTTACCATTATGTGGGAGGTATTTCTGCCGCGCAATGTATAACAAGAAAAAACAATTAAAATAAATTGGTAATAATTCCTCATTTGCACAGAGATTTAGTAAGCTTTGCTAATACAAGAAAAAACATTTTAGATTCATGCATAAAAGAAAATATGAACAGGTTTGAAGAATTTCTCACTGACTTGAACAATGATTCATATTGTGTGCAGTCCTCTCATTTATTGATAGTTACAGTTAATAATAATAATTTTTAAATTCATATTTACTTTGTATCCCCAACCTTTTTAAAAGAACAATTTTCTTATGTTTGCTTATTGTAACTAAGTTTTTTTTTTTTTTCATTTAAATAAAGCAACTAATATAAGGGATAAATAGATATAAAATGTAAATAAGATAAAAACTCACCCCCTCTTCACTTATGTAGTCATTCTACATCTCAAATGACTGAAATAAAGTCAGACAATCCCTTTTTGACACAAGGGAAAAAAGAATGACAAGAAAGCAAAGTAAATCATGCAATTAAATCATATTTTTTATTAAGGAAAAGTTTGAGAAATTGTTAGGTGTAATTTAAAGAGTTCTGAATGAAATGATGACTTTTTGTGAACAAAATTCATGCAAACTTTTATTTTATTTATTTCCAGAAAATTTCTGAGCCATACTATGAGAAAATAACAAATGATGTTGATATATTCGAGGTAAGTAATTTATTTTATTAAAAACTATTTTAACTTTCTGAATGTAGGTAATAGTGAAAGAAATATGTTCACAAAAAAAGATATTTCAGAAACTGATTTCTTGAGAGTTATTTCCAAAGTAGATTATATAAGGACAAAATTTTAGCAGAACATGCTTTCTTAAATATCCTTTTATAATGGCCTAGCAAATACATTCTTGTCTTTTTTTTTTTTTTTTTTTTTTTTTTTTTTTTTTTTGGGCGGGGGATGCAAAATATCACTCATGTCTTTCAACCACCCTCCTTCCCCCCACCCACCACTTAGGCAGATTAAGCTTCCTATGACTTCTCTTCTAAAGATCTTAAAATGCTATGGATGCAATTAAGGAAAATATGAAGATGTAGTTGTTGGAGATCTTGAAAAAGGATTTTGCAGACTTTTGAAAAGTAAAAAGGACTTAAATATGTGAGGTCACAAAATGAGTAAATTTAAAAAGGTCTAAGGCACCATTGCCCTAGGTATACTATTTTTTATTAATATTAAATAGTTGCATAATTTTTAGACAAATCATGTATATGTTGTTTTAAAGTAACTTGAACGTCTTTTTTAAAAATTAAAGTTAACATTGATATTTATTAGTTAAAATATTTTGCTCCCCCCCAAAATATATATATATATACTAGCAGTAGAGCCCGGTGTTGCCCGGGGATATAACAGTAAGAGATAGATCAAGTATCCACCATCATAAAGACTGAAAAATAAAATTGACAAAGATTATTGTTTAAGGTTGATGGACACGCATGTCTTAATTAGTTTTTTTTTTTTTTTTTTTTACGAATTGGTCAAACTCAAACAAAAACATTGTTTACAATCGTTATGAGTCTATCGATTGATGAATAGAATTTTATTATAAACAATTGTCTTGTAAATGGAATTTTTAAAGAATTCTGAATGTAAAAAAAATGTGCAAGACAATAAGAAACACTACCTGCCAAAAAAAAGTGAAGTTTTGTTGAAATCGGTTGAAAAATGTAGGTAGCCTATCTTTGTAATCTTTTACAATTTATGATTTTTACTTATTGTTGAAGCTTAAATAAGCATGGAATAATACAACACAAAATGTACGTTAACAAAATGTATTGAAACAAAGAATAGGTACACAATATTTACAGTTAGTTTGGTATATTCTTGGGAAGACTGTTCCTGCATAATGGGTTGACTAAATCGCAGTCGGGCAGAGTCTCTGGATTCAATTTCTTAATCTCTACTATCTTTTATTTATTGCACATATGTACAAATGTGGCACAAGGCCGAAAAGGGGATTGGGGTGAAGGACGGTCATCACTAGTCTTAGATTAAACTTAGCTAGCCACAATCACTGACCCTATCATACAGAACAATATTCCTTTCACCAAAACAACACATTTATCCATACCTTTCTTACTACAAACACCAAAATGCCTCTTTGACTCCATGAAAAACCTAAATAATCCCCTTATGTACAAAATATTTGTCTGTGGGGGGAGGGGCATAAAAAACAACAACTTTTAAAATGAACCCCAATGAATATATACAAAATGACAAAAATATATTTACAAGAAACCAAATAAAATTAGTGTTAGTAATAAAACCCCCCAAACTCTTGAATGTGGCAGAAATATCAGTTAACTGGGACAGAAATCGATGCGGGACTTATGAAAATAAAGCCACACTCATTCATCCCAAGCACTCACACAGGCACACACTCATTTATACACAACAACAAGTACGAAAAACACACACACGAAAAAACGAAAAGGCTTCCACATCTACCAGAGAACTGACATTACTGACCACCTAAAAAACGAGGGAGGGATGGGGAGTTAAACTAAAGAAAGAAAAAAAAGGGACAGAAATAAAGGGGACCAATGAGCAAATACACCTTAGCTAAGTTTACCAGAATAGAAAAACTAAAAGAAAAAATACAAAAAACCTAATCTAACCTAACTCCGGGATGGGTTGCCTATGTTCAACCCAGGAAAACAATATCCTTAATGCCTAACCGGCATCAAATGCCACTCAAGGTCAGCCCTTTTACTCGCACATTCACAAGAATCACCCACCTTTTGCTGAATTCCGATGAGGTGAGCATTGCGCCTTTCCGTCCTGATCTTGACTTTAAGCTGATGCCTAAAGAACAAGATCAGTTGGGAAGAAGTGAACTTCTCGCCCTCATGGAATCCCTTCTGACGCGTCGTCCAAATCCACGACTCTCATAACCCCTAGTAAGCAACAGAACACATAGTGTTCAGCCTTAAATCATCTGCGGCACCACATTGCCACAAACAGCTCTGGCATCCAGGACAAAAACCTTTCCATGCAGCATGCGAACCATGAGGCCTCAAGAAACCTGCTAGCAACGGCACTACCACCCTGCACTGAAAGAAGGCGTGACCAATAGTCTCGACTTCCCCGTTGCAGCGACGACAGTTTGGACAATTCTCCAAGCCTGCTGAACAAAGTCTCTTGCTGACCCAGAGGGCTTTACGAATCACCAGCCAGGTGAGTGATGCCTCATCGTTATTGAGACATTTCAACCCGGGCGCCCAAGGCCATATCGAAAGAGCCTCCCGCTTCGTAAGACCGAGCTCGCCAATCAGATTATCTTGTGCGGACCCCCCTAACTAAAACTTGATATAATGCCTTGTGAGACAACGCCTGGGCGTTGGAGAGACCATCCGAAACCCGTAAGAGGAGCTTCAGAGCGCGCGACATTCACGATAAAAAGAGCACTCGCACGTGGTAAACGGCCGCCTCTTTGTTCGCACAGTGCACACTTTTCAGGGATGGAAAATGTTTCTGGACGTCTTCTTTCCAAAAGGCACCCTCTCATTCGACCCACGACACATTCGGTCTAAAAAAGTAATGCGAAGCATATATTGACGGATCTCAATGCTAGTATCCCAGACCGCCCTCAGAGGGATGGAGGCAACAGACCTCGCGAGATACCATAGGGGCCTTGCCTCTCCACAAGAAAGAGAATAAAGTCCTGACTAATTGCATTAGTCGGGCATACGGGAGTGGAAGCACAGAGAGTCGGTAGAGGAGGATCGGATAGATGTGTGAAACACATACTTCCGCCCTTCCCTTCAGGGAAGGTCTCCTCCGAGACCACAGATTAACCGTGATCTCGGCCTTCCCTTGTACCTCCGACCAGTTCATTTTTAACTGGAGATCAGGACCAACCAGACGCCGAAAGTATCTTGATCGCCCATCCGTCCAGAGGAAAGGTCCGGGAAGAAAACTCCTTCCACGCACTCCAACCGCAAGCCCACAGACTTATCACGGTTGATCCTGGCCCTGTCACCATCTCATACCCATCTTTATTTCTTTTGCTGATTTCGTCAATCTCGGCTCTGCCGACACAAGAGCCAAACGCCGTCAGCATAGGCAGAATACCTGGCCGAGGTGGTAGCGCCAGGCAGGGTAATTCCGCGCAGGGACCGGATTCGCCTTTAACTTGGCGAAGGAATGGTTCCAACGCAAGAACGTAAAGCAAGGGCGATAGCGGACAACCTTGACGAATGGAGCGAGACAATACGAAGGCTCGACCTTACCCCATTCACTTCCACCAGCGCACCGGGGTCGTGACATAAGAGCGGATCCAGGAGCGAAAGTCGGCTCCGAACCGCCGCCACAGGACAGCCTCCAGAAACCGATGGTCAACCCCTATCGAAGGCCTTGGACTGATCTAAATTGATCAGCGCGGCTTCACTGTCGACTTGTTCTAAGATCAAGCGTACCATATGAAGGTTATCCTGAATCGCCCTGCCCTTCACAGCACAAGTCTGTTCGGGCCAATCAGACGAGACAGGACAAGCTGCAAACGGTTGGCTAAGATCTTCGCCAAAATCTTTAAGTCAGTATTTAACATCGTCAAAGGGCGAAAGTTCCCTAACCCATCCCCACCGTTTTGTCCTTACGCAACAACCTGATCACACCCCTGGTGAAGGTCGAGGTAAAGACCCCTGCCTCATCCAGTGGTTGTAAATCAGCTGCAGCAAAGGAACAAAAAACGGGCGACAGCCTCAAGTACACTTCGTAGGGAAGTCCATCTAGTCCCGGAGACTTATCCAGGCCAACCTGCTTCAAGCATCCCAGATTTCCGACTCTGTTATGGGACCCTCGCACCTAGCCGCCTAGCTGCCTCAAGGCAGGGAAAGTCAGCCAAATAGGCATCGAACTGAGCAGAGCTCAGACCGGGCTCCCTGGTGAAAAGATCCTGAAATAAAGCCGAAAGGCCTCGATATGCCCGCGCTTTTGTAGTCACTGTCCGCTTATCCGCAATGTGGACGCACGCTATATGTCGCTAGCCGCTGTTCGATTTTCCTCTGCACGCAATTCTGCGGCCATATTCGTCGCCTCAGAAGACATTCTCTTTAGCCTAGCCTAACTACCAGAGCTTGATCCTTCTTGATAAGCAAGGAGGCCAACTCTGCCTTAGCTAAGACTATGTCCCCACTAACACGGGATTTGACGGCCCGATCAACTTTATCTTCTAATGCCGCTTATGCCGCTAGTCTATCTAGATTGAGTCGATTACTAAAATCGGCAGCAAACGTTCTAATTTTTGATTTTAATTTTCCCCACCAGGCGTTTCCCACAACCGCCCCCGTCAATTCCCTCTGAATCATTAGTAGCAGCTGGTCCCGGAAATCCTGTTCACCGAAAAAGTGAACAGTTAAATTTCCAGTAACCAGCCAATCTAACCTTAGGTTTATCTAAGTTTACACGGACCCGGACAAACCTATGATCCGTGTAAACTATATAATGGAAACTTGGACACTCTAAGAGCCCCACGTCGACTCTCCTAACTAACACTCGGTCCAGGTAGCTCGCAAGCGAGCCACTGGCGAAGTTGCCACTAGTTGTCCAAGTCCATGCTACCTCCTGAGGGTGCTCATTCCGCATTTATCGACAAGATCAAACCTGTCGATAAAGTCCCAAATGCCTTCACATCAGGATTGTTAGTACCAGTTTTT